GATTACTGAGCTGTTCATGAGCTGATCAGGTGTGCTGGGTCAGGTAATCGTTGAATCTGCGGTGCTGTGGGTCAAGGGAAATAATGAGTACGTAAAGTAAAGAGTGGACAAGACCAGTGATCACTGCCAGCTGTGAGTTACTGCAGCCATGTTAAACGGCACCTTGTGACCCTCATGACGTCAGTGAGGACGAACAGCCAATGAGCTGCTCTGCTCACCAACCAATCAATACTCAGTATCAGTAATGCTAAACAATCAGTACTCAGTATCAGTAATGTAACCAATCAGCTCTCAGTAGCAGTAATGCTAACCAGTCAGCATTCAGTAGCAGTAATGCTAACCAGTCAGCGCTCAGTAGCAGTAATGCTAACCAGCCAGCACTCAGTAGCAGTAATGCTAAACAATCAGTACTCGGTAGTAGTAATGTTAACCAACCAGCACTCAGTAGCAGTAATGCTGACCAATCAGCACTCAGTAGCAGTAATGCTAACCAGTCAGCACTCAGTAGCAGTAATGCTAAATAATCAGCACTCAGTAGTAGTAATGTTAACCAACCAGCACTCAGTATCAACAATGCTGACCAATCAGCACTCAGTAGCAGTAATGCTAACCAACCAGCACTCAGTAGCAGTAATGCTAACCAACCAGCACTCAGTCCAACCAGCACTCAGTAGCAGTAATGCTAACCAGTCAGCACTCAGTATCAACAATGCTGACCAATCAGCACTCAGTAGCAGTAATGCTAACCAACCAGCACTCAGTCCAACCAGCACTCAGTAGCAGTAATGCTAACCAGTCAGAACTCAGTATCAACAATGCTGACCAATCAGCACTCAGTAGCAGTAATGCTAACCAACCAGCACTCAGTCCAACCAGCACTCAGTAGCAGTAATGCTAACCAGTCAGAACTCAGTATCAACAATGCTGACCAATCAGCACTCAGTAGCAGTAATGCTAACCAACCAGCACTCAGTAGCAGTAATGCTAACCAACCAGCACTCAGTCCAACCAGCACTCAGTCCAACCAGCACTCAGTAGCAGTAATGCTAACCAACCAGCACTCAGTAGCAGTAATGCTAACCAATCAGCCCTCAGTAGCAGTAATGCTAACGTCCTGCTGCCCAAAACCCGTTTGCTGTAGAGAAAAAGGTAATATACAGGTTATTTTCTTTGTTTTTTAGTGAAACTCATCCTTCTACTGTCTAAAATTAAAGGATAGTTCTGGGCGAGTGATCAGAAACTATTTTAACTTGTATCCATTTAACTCAACCACCCCCCCACCCCCCACACCGGCATTTTACAGTCCTGTTTTTGATATAATGGGGGAAATATTAAGAAGCCAGACTCCTCATGAAGTTTATATTTGTCAGTGCCCAAAATTACAGTTATATCTTTTTAGACAGGTCGACACAGGACCCATAAATTTAAAATGAATATGACAAACATCACTCATAATGTCAGATACGCCAGTAAAACGCTGCACTCAGAGCCAGACTGGGCTACAGGTTCTTTACACAAGCCATCAGATTCCTCAACTCCCACGGACTGAACTGAAGGACACCCACACGGACACAAACACACACACACACACATATACGTAACACCCACACGGACCCACACACACACACACATAACACCCACACGGCCACACACACACACACACACACACACACACACGGACCCCCCCCCACACACACGCACACATACATAACACCCACACGGACCCCCACACACATAACAATATGAGACTATCTCACTCTCCACTTCCTGCAGTTTCAAATTATACTGTATTTAAATATAGTTACTGCATTTCACTGAAACACTTCATTTGATACGACTGCAGATCTGAATATCTGCATTTTTGCACATTTTACTTCACTTTAACAATGTTAGCTGCTAGAATTACTGTATCAACCAAAGACTGTATACTGTATATTGCTGCTCTGGCTGCTACCTCAGTGACTGCTATGCTCATATTTGCTAGTTCTATCTGCTAATATGTCATAGTGTGTTCCATCCTCCTCTGCACAGCTCCACATACTCTTAGTACCGTGAGTTGCCTGTGTTCTGTTCTGTATTTACTGTCTTTCGTATTATTTACTGTACTGTCTGCACTGTGTTTATTGTCTTGTTTCACACTCGTGTTCCTGTGTTGGTCCTGGAGGAATGTTGTTTAGTCTCACTGTGTGCTTGTATAGAGCTGGAATGACAGTAAGACCTGACTTGACTCCACTACTCCATCTACAGGACAATAAACTGCACCCGTGCGTCACAGAGCCCCACGACAAGAAGAGCAATTCATTTGGCTTTTTAAAGATTGTTATACATGTTTACAAAGTATATCTATACACACAGAAATTAGATCAGTGTTAGTCTAATGATCCTGTACGTCGTTTATTTCCTCTTCTTCTGTTTCTGTTTGCTTTTTTTATTTTTACATGTACTGCTTTGTCTATAAAGTGTGAACATTAACTGAGAGCTGACATCTGCTACTGTAATGAAACAAGTAAACTATAAAAAAACAGTCCCAGTTTAAAAAATTCAAAGAAACTGAGGAAGCAGAAATATTAATACGTGCTGCAGGGAGACGAAATCACAGCTTTTGATTAATAATCCTGTAAATCATTCATTTTGTCTGTTTTTTCAGCCTGACTATATTAGTGTGATCTGTGGTCATAGTGAAGAGTGAAGAGGTGAGTTATCAATGTTAATTATCATTATTAATACTTTATTCCTCAGTTTATCTGTTTCCTACAGAGTAAAGAGTTAAAAACATAACAAAAACAGTTTCTTGACCTGAATCTAAAGGACAGTGTGGGGTGGACCTTTCTGAAATGACCAACACAAAAAAATTGTTTTTATCAGTCAATTGTAATTTAAAAATCTGATATTGGGACAAAAATAAAAATATACAATAAAAATACAGATTCATTTATGCAGACTAATTAATAAGGCTTTCTTTTACAGTCTCTTAAGTTCTAGATATGAACCTGGTAATTCCAAGACAAATTACCTAAATTGCACTGAAACACTCAACAGGTTCTAGATATTAACTGGGTAAGTGCTTCACAGTACTGTGTGATTGTTTTGGGTAAAAAGTTCCAGGTGGTTATTAGGAATAAAGTACAAAGAGTCTTATAGAGTACTAACCTGTTCATTATCTATAAACTAAACTGAATCTGGGCTGATAAAGAAAACAGTGGTTCTTACTGAGGTTAAACTGGGCTCTTACTGTTTACTGCAGAAAACTATCTTTGTGTTCTGTTGTCATTTTACTCCATACAGCTCATGCAGAGTTTCTGATTTACTTTCCTCCCTAAATGTGTGAATTTACAGTGAAATTTAGTGTATGTTTATATTAGCCACCCAATAATTTTGAGATATTATGCTTCTTTATCAGCATATTAGTGAGATCTTTAGGACATTTCAGGGTAATTTGCATTGGATTGCATTGAAACATCATCATGTTACTCAAAATAATCACTAGGACTTTTGAGTTTGTACTTCTCAGTTACCTGGTCAGTATCTAGAATCTAGGGGGGCTGTGAAAGAAAGCCTCACAGACTAATTCATACAGAAATATAGATGTATATAGAACACAGTACAGAAACATAAGGTGATGTATATGAGCAGAATCTGCTAGAGGCTCATCTGAATAGAGGAAATCTCACAGTGGAGCTCCTTAATCCATTCAGTGTCCATCAGCACAGCAAATGAAGATGTTAGATAAGTGCTAAAGCTCCAAAGTGAGAGGAGTGATGGACAGTAAAGCAGTTCAGGAGCTGAAACAGCACAACAGACTGAAATTAAACCCCAAAAAAGAGAATCAGCAACTGAATGTTAATGACTGAAATGGAGCTGAATCAGTAGAAGTTACTACATAAACCTGTTTAACTGCTAGTAACGTCATCATAAACTGGCAGCTTAAATACAGCTGAAGCTACAATGTGCAATGAAATAAATGATGTAAAAAAATAACAAAAGGCTTATTTTGACAGTCATTTCTTCTTTTTTTAAAAAAAAATAATCATATGTCCACTTATACGGTATAACACTGTGTAGAAATGAGAACGGAACGTACAGAAATGTTCCCAATTTTCCCCTCAACCCAAATGAACAACATTACGTTAGCATGGCTAAAACCGTAAAAGCGGCCTGACTTTGGTCTGTATTGTCTCCATGTTTACAGATATCAGTGAGTCATATGGTGTCAGAAACCACATAATCAGGTCTATTAGAGATACTGAACACCTCCACAGTCTGAGGCCTTAGGTCTGCAGTTAGCACCATGCTAACTGTTAGCTACATTAGCTTCATAGCTCCATCAAACATGTCTTGCCCGATCAACTACATTTGGAGTACTGAGTGGAGTAAACTAGATGTTTTACTTAACTATGACTTTAAGATACAGACTGTAAAGATCACTTCCCCACACTGAGTTTAATACAATACAGCTCGATATAATTAAACTCTGACTTCTGGAGCTTTTAACAAATGCTTATAACGTTTTGATTGGATGTTTAGCTGAATTTTGACTATGACTATGAGATTGAGAGGATCTTCTTCTCTGAGTGCTGGTGTTGTAGCAGTAACGGCCTCCTCTGCTGGAATCGTCTCACTGAGAGTCAGAGTGGTCATTTCCCTCTGACGCTGTAAGAAACCACATTCACACAATGAACTCAGTTCATTCTAAGCAAAAACAAAGTGAGATTAAAGAGTGAATGTAAAGTGAGCACTGAAAGACTCTGACGGATCATTTACTCTTATTCAGACAGTAAAATGAACAGAAAGGCCTGTCACTCATCTAACAAGACAATCATTACTGTATGAGTGCTATAAATATTAATTACAGTAGCAACCGGCCAACTTTGGGGCCAGTGAGTTATTATAACATTTGTTTATTAATTTAACTTGTCATTGACTTGTAATAAGCTTGTAATCTGATATCAAAAACCTCAGAATGATTTGTAGGATTTAAGGATAACAGAGAAAAGTCTTACCTAAATTTGGCAGAGAAATATTCTTTGAATTCCATCTTCCTAAAAATAAAAACATCACATTTTAATTTAGAATAGGATCAGGATACGACTGTAAAGCTACACTAACATTAGGATACGACTGTAAAGCTATACTAACATTAGGATACGACTGTAAAGCTATATTAACATTAGGATACGACTGTAAAGCTATACTAACATTAGGATACGACTGTAAAGCTACATTAACATTAGGATACGACTGTAAAGCTATACTAACATTAGGATACGACTGTAAAGCTACACTAACATTAGAATACGACTGTAAAGTTTTACTAACATTAGGATACGACTGTAAAGCTAACACTAACGTTAGGATACGACTGTAAAGTTATACTAACATTAGGATACGACTGTAAAGTTATACTAACATTAGAATATGACTGTAAAGTTTTACTAACATTAGGATACGACTGTAAAGCTAACACTAACGTTAGGATACGACTGTAAAGTTATACTAACATTAGGATACGACTGTAAAGTTATACTAACATTAGAATATGACTGTAAAGTTTTACTAACATTAGGATACGACTGTAAAGCTAACACTAACGTTAGGATACGACTGTAAAGTTATACTAACATTAGAATATGACTGTAAAGTTTTACTAACATTAGGATACGACTGTAAAGCTAACACTAACGTTAGGATACGACTGTAAAGTTATACTAACATTAGGATACGACTGTAAAGTTATACTAATATTAAAATATGACTGTAAAGTTTTACTAACATTAGGATACGACTGTAAAGCTACACTAACATTAAAAAGATATGAAACTGAGAACTGAAGTATTAGAACCGAACACTGAATTGAGAGCTGAGGAACTGAAAATAGGTTCTGTAATGTTGATGATGATGATAATAATGATAGTAGTGTTAATCTCACTTAGCACTGCCATCAGCAAAGGATTCTGGGGTTTTGTTTCAGCTCTGTCAGTGTCATCACAAAACAGATTTACAGAAAAATCCAGGTCCGAGGCCCCATGAGCGTCACCAATGGCAACAGTGGCAAGGAAAAACTCCCTCAGAGTGTTGATTCAGTGTTTAGTTTAGTGGACGTTCCCTTTGTTAACAGGTGAAGAACTCACCTCCAGCTGTGGTCAGTCCTGCAGTCCAAGTCTGACTGTTCTTGCCGTGGCACTGACCACCATCATCATCACCATCATCATCACATTCGCCTGACAGAGAACGAGACAAGGGACTGTAAAACTGGTAAACATTTAGCTGCCAAATATGAATTAATTAATTAATATTAAATCCATTGAAGAAGTGAGTCTTTCTATAAAGAAAAAGTAAAAGCTCAGTGAACAGCAGGAGGAAATATTGAGTGAAGAATATAAAATTTGTCTGATCAGATTTATGATGTAATAAGTGTATAATTTAGACACTGAAAATGAAATAATAATAAAATAACCAATAGTACTCAAAGCTGGAGGTATACAGTCCACTGAAGCAGTAAAGTGATGTAGATGTTCCATTGAGCGAGTGAATCTTTCTGAAATGAGCAGTAAGAATTCAGTGAACAGCAGAAACACTGAGTGAAGAACATCACGTTTGATCAGAGTCTAGAAATGGGTTTACATTATTATTATTAACTTAACTTGAATCATATCTTGTTAACAGAAAGCAGCAGCTGTGGTCGTGTGTGAAAGTTTGAGCGCCTGGTCAAATGTTTATGATGATGTTGATGTTCTCAGTGTAAATAAGTGAACGTCCTCTACAGAGACACACTACTGAACATTTAATACACAATCACTGTTTATTTACTGAATTTAAAAAATGTGGCCTGTGCAAAATTTATGGCACATTTATTTTTCATGTTTTATTTTTGTCCAGTAAGTTAAATTCAGCAAAAAAAAAATAAAATAAAATAAATAAATAAATAAATAGAAATTGTGCAGTACAATTAGCAGAAATATGCCATATTTAAGTTTGTTCTCTGCAGACCACAGTGTTAAAATACTCACTCTCAAATTCAGCTGAATCTCCTCCATCCTGATCTTTATTCTTCAACACTCAGAGAGATCATCATCATCATCATCATCATCATCATCTCCTTTCACTGAACTCCATCTAATACTGATGATTCCTGTTTGTTTCAGCTGTGGGTTAAGAGTTTCTTTAAGGTCAGTAAGTGATGCTGTAAAAGTCCACAGTAGAAAAATGATGATTACCAACCAGTGGAGCTGCGCTGGGCAGGATTTGGCTCTGCTGCTCTGGGTTAATAATAATAATAATAATAATAACAATAATAATAATAATAATAATACAATGGCAGCCAAAAAGAACTGCTCAAATGTTTCTGTAATGATCATATGACACATTGCATTGTCTTTTTTGTGCTTATCCATAAAATGAAGCACTTCAAGCACATCCGAAACAGATGCTGAACATCAGTACATCACATTTATCCATCTAAGTGATTCCTTTACACTGCTGGTGTGCAGGAACACAAATAGTCTGATTTTGGTCTCACCTTTCAGATCTTTTCTGCAGGCATCATCAAATGTAAGACTTGCGAAGATTATTTTCAGTTGCTTTCTTTTCAAAAGTGCCAAAGCCATCACAACAATACCACAACCAATCGTCACACACAGGAGGACTACGAATCCCCCATTTCCCCCCTTTTCTCCATTTTCTTGCTTCTGTCTATCTCTGTCTTTAGGACGTTCATCTGTAGACTCTTTCTCATCTGTAGACTCAACTGTAAAATCTATTATAGCGAAACAGAGAACTAATGGTGAAAAGACATCATAAAGTTGCAGGTAAAACAGTCTATCTGGGCAATTCTGCATCAGAAAGTTCTTGAGGATCTGATTGGACTGGGACGAATTGCCCCATTCTGGTTCAGTTCGTAGGAACTGTTTGTCCGCTGCTTCCCACCGATCCGTGTGGAAATTGTAGTAGGCCGTGATCTTTCCGCTGACTCTGATTTCAGCCGTAGTGTTCAGTAAGGTATCTCCACTGGAGGATGTCTCAACCTCACAGCCAAATCTGTGTTCAATGTGATGATCACCTGGACACTTTTCAGAGAGTCCATCACCTGAAATCCACACAAAAAGAGTTTATTCACAGCATTTCACTCACAACTCAACACACACATTTATAATAACACACACACGTCTAATAATGACGTACATGTACAGAATTCCTCCATCCGACAACCGGGTCTGTTTTCAACGCAACGATCATCTGAACTCCTTTTACAGACGTCAGAATCTGAAATAAAAAAAAAAACCACACCATCATCACTGTGTTAACACAGTCTCATGTTCTCAGGGCCTTTTTATTTGCTCATTGGAATTTCTAGGAAGTGGCACGGTGGCGCAGTGGGTAGCGCTGTTGCCTCACAGCAAGAATGGCCTGGGTTCGATTCCCGGCCGGGTGACCAGGGTCGTTTCTGTGTGGAGTTTGCCTGTTCTCCCCGTGTCTGCGTGGGTTTCCTCCGGGTACTCCAGTTTCCTCCCACAGTCCCAAGACATGCAGTCAGGCCAATTGGACATGCTAAAATTGCCCCTAGGTGTGAGTGTGTGTGTCTGTCTGTCTGCCCTGCGATGGACTGGCGACCTGTCCAGGGTGTATCCTGCCTTCCGCCCAATGACAGCTGGGATAGGCTCCAGGCCCCACCGCGACCCAGAAGGATAAGCGGTTTAGATGATGTATGTATGTATGTATGAATTTCTAGGAAACACTGCAATATTCCCAAGACCCTAGATTCCTGAAATGACATTTTCCAGGAAGCAATTCTGTCACACACTATTCACCATATACATTTACAGTAATATACATATGACTTTGAGGAGAGTGGCTTGCACAGACTTTGGTGAGGGTGGGGGGTTGAATTGCTTTAAGACGCCATTGTTTGGGGGCACTCCTGGAAAAATTCTTATCAGGCTTTTTCAGTGTGAAAATACCGATATAGACAATTTATTCTAATATTGGATTAATAACCAAAGTCAGATTTGAAGAAATATCAAGTTCAAAGTTATAAAAGCCCCACTTCTCTTCCCTCACTCGAGGACACGGGTCAAAACTTTGACTCAATGTGAGATATCGGGAATAGGGAATGTGTTCAATCAGGAATGACTGTAGTCACGATGGACAGTGAGTGGACGCTCCAGCAGCACTGCTGTGTCTGATTCACTCACACCAGCACAACACACACTAACACACCACCACCACGTCAGTGTTACTGCAGTGCTGAGAATGATCCATCACCCAAATAGTACCTGCTCTGTGAGGGTCCATGGGGGTCCTGACCACTGAAGAACAGTCTAACTGGACTACAGTCTGTAATTGTAGAACTACAAAGTGATCCCATATGATACGTGTTAGGTCTGCCTAATAAAGTGCTTTTTGAGTGTGTATGTACAAACACACACACACACACACATTTTCTAAGCTGCTTGTGCTTCTTGTTCACAGTGGGTGCTGGAGCCTATCCTAGTGCTAATATGTTTTCATGTTTTGATGTAATGAATGCCTGTTCAATGCCTGAATGCCTGTTGTCCTTTAAATTGTGTGTAAATTTCATGATGAATGGACCAAAAGAAATGACCCAAAATGCCTTGGTAATAATTCTGGTTCCACTGACTTACATTAAAAGTAAAGTAGGCTTTTTCCTTCTCCTGTAAATGTATCAATTTTGGAGATACGAGATTTTGTTCCGGCAGCAGCGATACATGTTTATATGATTTAATTCAGCACAGACCCTCATGAGAAACTGCTCCTACAGGATAGAGAAGCATCGTAAAATCATTGCGAAGTATGTCCGTCATCTTCTTCTTTCTTGTTTCGATGCCTTGGCTGGATTACAACAGTAGACTGTTTCACCATCAAGCAGGACAGTGCGCTTAAACCAAGGGCCACAGGTTGCAGCACTGGTGTGAACGTAGTACAGGGAGTGTCTCTCTGTGGGACAGACAAAAAACACAGAAGGGTAAAACAATCACTCAATGGACAGAAAACAAGTGTTCTGAAAAATACTGGTTAATATATA